GGCGATGTGAAGGATGGAGCTGGGGATAAGAAGATGAAGCCCAGCTCCACTTGGGGATGTGAAGGATGGAGCTGGGGACAAGAAGATGAAGCCCAGCCCCACCTGGCGATGTGAAGGATGGAGCTGGGGATAAGAAGATGGAGCCCAGTCCCACTTGGGGATGTGAAGGATGGAGCTGGGGACAAGAAGATGGAGCCCAGTCCCACTTGGGGATGTGAAGGATGGAGTTGGGGGCATGAAGATGAAGCCCAGCTCCACTTGGGGATGTGAAGGATGGAGCTGGGGATAAGAAGATGGAGCCCAGCTCCACTTGGGGATGTGAAGGATGGAGCTGGGGACAAGAAGATGGAGCCCAGTCCCACTTGGGGATGTGAAGGATGGAGCTGGGGGCATGAAGATGAAGCCCAGCTCCACTTGGGGAAGTGAAGGATGAAGCTGAGGATAAGAAGATGGAGCCCAGTCCCACCTGGGGATGTGAAGGATGGAGCTGGGGGCAAGATAACGAAGCCCAGTCCCACCTGGGGATCAGATGCCCTACACAAAGCACTAAGGTTCATCCCTCAGAGTGAGCAGTATTTAGGATATTCACCTCAAAGACACTTTTCCCCTTCTCTGGGGGTTTCTTCCAGTCTGAACCACGACGCTGTGGAGAAGTGGAAGAGCAAAAGGCAGGAAAGCAACCCCACCCTGACCCCAAGCAATCCCACCTTGCTCCATCCCCACCACACAACAATGCCACCACCCTCACCTTTGCTCTTTGACCACCCTTGCCCTCTCTTGGCACCCCAACTGCTCTGCTGTGCTGCTCCCTGCCTGACCCAGTTTCTCATCCCAAATCCGGTTGCTCCACCTCCCGTGTCTCCGTGCCCACATTTCTTACCGGGTACGTAATGCTCTGTGCTCATTCCTCTTGGATTTCATCCAGGCTTCCCTGCCAGGAGAGGTGCATTCCCTTCCCTACCTGCTTCATCTCACCCATCCTTATCTCAGGTCGTGTTATCCCTCCACCATCTCCTCCTCTCCCACATTTATCTGCTCTCCCAACCTCCCTCACCTGCTCCGCGGGCAAGTGGTGACAGCTGTGTCTTATCTGCTTCCTCCCTCCACCTCTGCTTTAAACTCTTCACTCCTGTAAAACTTTGGTGGTCCTTCTGGTCCAGTGTCCACCTTCCCACTCCTTCCCGGCTCCCAGGGGTGGGAAGGAGCTCTGAAGGATTTTTTTGACTCGTGGCAGAAGAAATCACAGGTTTGGGTTGGAAGGGATGTTAAAAGCCACCCAATTCCACCCTCCCTGCCATGGGCAGGGACACCTTCCACTAGCCCAGGTTGCTCCAAGCCCTGTCCAATGTGTCCTTGGACACTCCCAGGGATGGGGCAGCCACAGCTTCTCTGGGAAATCCATTCCAGTGTCCCACGACCCTCACAGGGAAGAATTTCTTCCCAACATCCAACCCAAATCTACCCTCTTTCAGCTTTGGATGACAGTCCTGTACATGGGACACGAGGAGAGAGCAAGTCCCCAGCCTGATGCAGGTGTCTTCCAACCCCAAATCCTTCCTGTGTCCCATGGCAGCTCCATTCCCTGGCTCCCTTATGGAAGAGAAATCCCAGGGGCTGGAGACAGGCTCACCTGACAACTCCACTCCCCTGCAACCTCAGCCAATCTCATCCAGGAAGGAGGTTAAGAGGTGAATCGAGGTGAAGGCAAGAAGGGACAGAGACAGGAGGAAATAAATGTTCAGGAGTATCTGTTGAAAAGGGTTTGTCTCACCTGACTCGAAGAAAATGAGGAGGAAAAAAAACCCCTCCCTGCTTGTGGGTTTGGGATTCAGCTTTGGAAAACATGCAGCAGGAAAGAAAACCTTGTTTGGTGATCTCCAGCTTCGAGGAGGGGACTGACCTGGAGACCTCCAGAGCTCCTGTCCCACTGGAGGGGGCAGGAGCATCTACAGGGTCTGAGCACGTTGTGCTGGATCTTCTTCCTCGTGGTTCCTGCAGACCCCACAGGGCATCTCTGGAGGGGAGAACTCAGCTGGACTCACACTTGGCCTCCATCCCACCTGTGGGAAGAGCCAGGCAATTCCTGAGACGCTGGAGATGGGAAATCCCAGGGCAGAAACAGCACAGTCAAAATGAGGAACTCTTTAGAGAGGAGAAGAGCCCGGACAACCCAAAGGAGCGACCCCAGGGCTCAGGGAATGCTCCCTGCACTTACCCAGAGACATGGGGTCAGCTCAGGGGCTCAGTGGGGGTGTAGGACCATGTCTTGCCCCCATGGATGCACCATCCCAACTTGGTCTTCTCCAGAGGTGCCTGAGGATGTTCCTGGGGAGGGTTTGTAACAGGGATTGTTCCTTGGATGGACGGGGCCACGCCCGGCACCATCCCCAGGGACAGCACCCAGGGAACGGCTGGAGCTGTGCCAGGGCAGGCTCAGGGTGGATTTTAGGGAAAGGTTCTTCCCCCAGAGGCTGGTTGGGCACTACCCAGGCTCCCCAGGACAGTGGGCACAGCCCCAAGGCTGCCAGAGCTCCAGGAGGGTTTGGATAACGCTCTGAGGGACAGAGGGGAATTGTTGGGGTATCCTGGGCAAGGCCAGGGTTGGACTGGATGGTCCCTGTGGGTCCTTTCCAGCTCAGGATATTCCATGATTCCATGAAAACTGGGCTCTGGCAGCCCCTGCACGGGCTGGGGGGTGGTTTGAGGTGTCCTGAGGACACCTGGGCTGAAGGGGTTGGTGGCCCAGAGCCACACAAGTGACTCTGGGCAGCCCCAGAGCTGGGGGGGTTTGGCCCCACTCTGAGCACGGATTTAGGTGCTGGCAGAGCCCTCGGTCCTTGGTGTGACCCACTCCCACATCCAGGCCCCCAAACCTACCTGTGGCTGCTCCTCCCCACTCCAGAGGCCGGCAGGGTCCGAGGGCTCTGGCCACCAACTCCCAGGGCAGTCCCACGGTGCTGGATCCCATCTCATCCTCCCAGGAGCTGTAGGACATCTCCATCTCTCCTGCCTCGGGTAAATGGCCCCGAGCTGGAACATCCAGGCTGCTCTGAGCACGGCTCAGCTCCCAAAATCCACCAGGCCAAGGCAACAGGGGCTGATGTGAAGGTCCTTGATCCAGGTACCGGGTCCCCTGGGGGGCTTCCTGCACTCTTGGGATCCCACCTGGACCTGCAGCTGGGTCAGGTGGCACTTTTCCTTTTGTCCACGATTGCCAACAGAAGCAGCCAAGAACATTCTGATGAACTCTGGGAGGTTCCCATCCTCCTTTCACCCTCTTCTGCCCCCGGCAGAGGTTGAATGACAAACACCACCAGGCAGAGCCTTTCCTTCCGAAAATTAACACCTGGGACTCCCTGCCCCAGGATCTGACAGATCCCAAAAGTGTTTTTTCCAAAAGGGAAAAAACACTTAAAACAAAGGGTTTAGAGGAATTCCTGCAACATAAACCATCCAGGATTCTTTGCTTTGCAGGAGGGAGTCTCCCAGAGCGTGAATCTTCCCTAAATCCTTCACTCCTACACATTGAACCTCGTCATCCGCCCGAGCCTTCCATGGAACCTCCCCACCACCCTTCCCAGGAGGACCCCAAGTTCCCCCATCCCGGTGTGCTCAGCACCTCCAGGCCCTATGGAGATCCCTCCGGGATCACACGAGATCTCCCAATCAGCCACTCCCTAATTAGTGCCTCTTGTTGATTTGATATCCTTTGAATTCCCGACTCCGCGTGCCCAGGGAATGTTCATGCTCTGCCTCCATGAACCTTCCGGTGGGAGGTGTCCCTGCCCATGGCAGGGGGTGGAACTGGATGGGCTTTAAGGTCCCTTCCAACCCAAACCATTCCAGGATTCCGGGATGGGCTGCCCACTGCTCTGCTCTGCCCTCCAGGAGTTAATTCCTACTTGGAATTACCTTCCCCACCTGCAAACCTCCACGGAATCAATGAGAACAAAGGCTTGGCCTTAATCATGTTTGTGGATCATCCTAAAATCCCAGAATGGGTTGGATTGGAAGGAACTTTGAAAATCATCTCGTTCCAACCCCCTGCCATGGGCCGGGACACCTTCCACCATCCCAGATTGCTCCAAGCCCCATCCAACCTGGCCTTGGACACTTCCAGGGATCCAGGGGCAGCCACAGCTTCTCTGCCCAACCTGGGCCAGGGCCTCCCCACCCTCATAATTAAGAATTTTTGCTAGAAACCAATTAAAATAACCACCAAATTAGGCCAAACGTGGCTTTAGCTCAGTGTCTCAATGCCACACGGGCTGTGGGAGCCAGTGCCCATCCAGGGATTGCCTCCCACGGGATCCTCCCTAAATCCGTGTGTTCCAACAGCAAATCTTTGCTGCTTGTCCGAAAGAGACCTTGAACTTTATAATTTTCTAGGATTTAGGGGTTTTTTTTTCCAGCCTTCCCAGCGATGCACAGGCACTTGATTAATTAAACAGTTAATTGCTGTATTGTTTAATAGAAGTTACAACAGGATAAATGTACAGTTGGAATTCAACATGCTAAATTCTAAAGCAATTCCACCTGGAAACCATGCAGTCCATTCCTTAATCAGTCCAGCTCTTTGCCTTCTCTTTTTTTTTTTTAATCAGTAGCTCTGCTAGTGAGTTTTAAGGAAAAAAAAAACAAACCAAGAACAAAACCAAAAATGTGTTCTCTTTAAAGTTAAACCTAATTTACTAAACTTTCCCCTTATTGTGCAACGACTTGTGCAAAAAAAGCTGTTTTTTCACCACGTCAGTTTACAAAATCACGGCCTTTCCCCCCCCCCAAAAATAAAAATGTGAGAAAAGGCAACCCAAGCAGCCGGTGGACAGGGAGGGATTGGGATGGGGGCAGGGATCGGGATGGGGGCAGGGATCGGGATGGAGTGTTTTCCTGTCAAAACTGGATCAGAGGGATGAGCCAAGGCAGAAAGAGCTTGGCACACACAGCATTCCAGAAGCCTGAGCTGCCCGTGGAATTTTTGGGGTGCTGGGTCCCCCCCCGAAAACTGGGGGAGCTGCAGGGGGGGATGGATGTAAAGATTCCTCAATCCAGGGGTTGGAGACCGGAGCAGCAAATCTGGGATGAAGCAAATCACCCGGTCCCCAAGTCCCAGGCTGAGCTTGCCCCTCTCCATCCGGCACTTCTGGGGTGAATCCCACCCAGATCCCAGGGAATTTGGGTCGGTTCCCACAAAACTCACAACTTTCCCAGTGGACAGCTGGGCTGGGAGCATCTTGAAGGCATTTGGGATGAGATTTATTTGGGAGTTGTGCTCCCTCCGAGCTCCCCAGCAGTGGGACAAGCACGGAGTGGGGAGCTGTAGGGAATGGGACACAGAGATCCCACCAGCCCCGTGGCACCCAGGGGTGGGACACACACCCAACGGGGGCGTGGGAGGGTGTTCCCATGCTCCAAACCGCTCCACGGTCCCCAAAAAAGCACCAAACTCAACCCAGAACTAAAGGGAAAAGCCAGCCAGGGGTAGGAAACATCCAAAGGGTGGAGATGTTTCTCCCTGGGGTTTGGACACTGCTCGGAAGGGGTGGTTTTCCCCCAGAAGCAGCTCCAGCACAAGAGGCCACCGGAGCAGCCCTGGCTCCATCTCAGCCTCCTCATCCCACGTTGCCTCCCAGCATCTCCCAGTTTGGGGCCAGCACAGACTCCCCCCCACACACACACCTCCTGCCCCACAATTCCACCTTCCCAGCAGCACAAAAGCAGCTGATTTTGAAGGAAACGAGGCCAAAGCAGCCCCTGGAACGAAGCACCAGCCAAACTTCCCCGGCCCCATCCGAGCCGGGAGCTGAGGTTGGATCCAAAACAAAGTGCAAAAATCGCTGAGGGCGTCTGACCTGAACTCCAGCCCTTGGAATAAACCAAAAAAAAAAAAACAAAATCCCAGGAAAAGCCTCCTCCTCTCTCTCACACTCGCTGATGGCTCAAGGAGAACACTCCCCTCACCTACGGATACACTTTGGGCTGCAAATTCCCACCGTACACAGAATTATTCCCAACCCTTGGGCTGCCTGACAAGATGATAAAGAGGATAAGAAGTGCAGATGCTTCCCAGGAAGCCAAAATTGGGTGGGGTTTTTTTTGTTAATGTATTTTTTTTCCCCACTGGTGCTGTTTGTTTGGTTGGTTGGTTTTTTCCTGGAATATTTTTGCGAATATTTGCTGGAAAAACTGGGGGAACAACCCGATTTTTTTTCTACAGCCACTACTTAAAAACTCAAACCCTTTAAGTGCCTGGGGAGGGAGGGGTTATAGCAGCATTATTTATTTGGGGGGGGCTGCAAATCTTCACTTGAGGGTTCTGCTCCCTCTTCCCACCCTCCTTATAAATTCCCTTTCCCTCCTGAGCAGCTCCATCCCCAGAGGAGGATCCCTGTCATTAGCAGGGAACTTAGAGGGGATTTGGGATGTCTTCCAGGGCTCTTTAGGCAATCTGTTCCGAAGATTAATTTTATTTGGAAGGGGATGGAGCCGCATCTCTTGGAACAAAAAGTTAATTAGGACCAGAGCACCAAAAATGTCATTTTTCATCCCGGGGCTGCGACTCGCGGTTCAGGCTCTTGACCTCCCGAAATCAGGAACACCCAGAATCCCTCCCTTGGCCGAATGTGACTTTCCCAGTGACAAGTCTGGACTGCCAAGAGCTGGTTTGTGGGATCCCAATCCCAACTTCTCCAAGAAGAGCTTAAAAGAGTGAAGGAGCCCACCCCGGGCACGGCACGGCCGCGTCGCCCCTCTGGGAATTGAAGCTCCAGGTGGAGATGGGAAGGACAGCCTGGATGTGGGATGGGGATTGGAAAAAAGGTGTTGCCTCAAGGCCCAGCTGTGTTGAGGTTTTCTTGTAGGAACAGGGAATACAGGAGGCAAAAATGGAATTTCAGGGTGGCAGCAGATGCTTCGTCCACCAAAATCCCTTCCGTATATTTGAGGATCCCGGTCCTTCTCCCTTTATCCCACAGCCTGACTGAGTTCCTCCGGTCCCCCTGGAAGCCTCTGCTGGGTCATCTGGGGGTTTGTCTACAAAGATGATCCATTTCTGGCCACGTGACACCAACTTTCCTTCACCTGCTCCTTTTTCCTTCACCCTCCTTCCACGTCCTTCCAAGAGGCATTAAAAAGGAATTCACCTCTGACCCCCCTCCAAAACCAAGGAACCACAATGCCAGGATGGGCTTTCCCTCTTATTAATGAAAATAATCCCTTGGTCCTCATGGATGGAGGCGGCTGGGGCAGGACAACAGCCCCAGGAGGTCATTCCTGACCATATTCCCGTTCAATTCCAGGGTTAAGCAACACGAATCCTTCCCAAAACCAAAACAAACCCCCCAAAAGTCTCGCTGAGGAACAAGGAGAGGGGATAAAGCCTCATCCCCTTCATGCATCCAGAGGGTGGGAAATGGGCTGTAACATCCACCAGGAAGATTTTAATTCCCTTTACCATGAGGGTCTGGGAGGTGGGGAATGTGGCTGGATAAGTTTTCACCCGCAGGAGTCGGGAGTCAAAAGGGTAACGAGGTGATAAGGGTGAAAATCCCCCTCAGTAACCTCAACCCCGGAGCTAAAATCCTGGTGGGAATGTTGCCCTGCTCCTCAAAAGCTGCCTGATTCCAGCAGAGCATCTTTGGGAACCTTCAGAGCTGAGGGGAATTTTGTCCACAGGCACTTTGGAGCCGGGGGGGTGCTGAGCATTGCTGACTCCATGCTGGGGATTCCACAGGTTTCCCACTCCATGTCCCATCCAGGGCTGCTCCAAGGAGCAAACCAAGGGAAGCAGAGGAGCTTTACCCCATGGAAGCATCAAGAGGAGAGGGAAGATGGGACACCAGCATGGAAAAGAGAGGGAAAACCCCTGAATGCAGTGCCCTGGACATCAGGAGAGCTCAGTTTTCTGCCACACCTCCATTCCTGCTGCCCGAATTCCAGCAGCATTCCAGCACCAATCCAGCTCCATGGGACACCCTGCCGGGTTATCCTTTGGCTCTCCCTTTCCAAATCTAATTAATGAGGCAGCTCTAAAGCCCTTCTCCACCCAGTGACAGGCCCACAGGCCCCAGCAGGTCCCGGTGGCAGAGCTCAGGGACACGGACACACGGGAAAAAGTCGCAGCTCCAGGGATCCCCAGGGATCTCCCTCTCCTAAGGTGGAAATCAGCTCTTAGAGGGGAAAACGAGGAGAAAAACTGGGAAATCACTTCGCCTTTTCTCCTGCCTAAATCCAAACCACAAGCTGGCAAGACACACTAACAGATGACCCTCTTCCTTTTGATCGGAGCCCACGAGAAGAACCCAAACCGCGGCTCCTCCCTCCGTTTTTTGTGGATAACAAAAGGAAGGCAGGATGATCCCTTCAATCTGGTCGATCCAACAAGAAAACAGCCCGGGTGTGAGCTTCCCTCTCAGGCTTTAGGATTTCCCAGTGGCTTTCCAAACCCCTGAAAATAGGAGTTTATCCCAGGAGCCTCCCGACGCCCCCTCCGAGCCTCTTTTCCCAGGGATTGTTTCACCGGGAGCGTTTTGGGAAAGGGGGAAGAGGGGTGGAGGAGGGGGAAGGTTCCAGGAATATTACAGGTGAATAAAAAAATACATATATTCTCTTTCAACAAGGATCCCAAGTCCGGGGGGGGGGTTTGGGAAGGAGGTGCCCAGCTCCCTCAGGAGTGGTGGCTGTTGATGAGGCCGCGGAGCTGCTTGGCCACGGTGTCGATGAGCTTCTGCTTGTCCCGCTCGTTTTTCCGAAACTGGGCAAAAACGTTGTTTTTCCTGCTCGTGTCTCTCATCCTGCGCAGAGCAGAAAGAGGTTATGGCACAAGGGGTCGTCACCCCCCGAGCCCCAGGAGGGAATCACGTGGGAATTTCGGGTGTTCGGGGAGGAGGCGCCCGGATTTGAGGGTTCTGTCGCATTTTGGGGCATCATTCTGCCTTTTGCACATTTGGTATTTCTGCTCTAAGCCTCACAAATCCCAATCAGTGTCACCACTGTGACAAAATCCATGAAGCCCTAAAGCCTCTCCCTCCAAACAGGCCCCTTCTGAAGTGGCGCACGACAGCGACGTAATTTCGGGAGGAAATTAAAAAATTAGCATCAAATCCACGGAATGAAGGGGTTCAACTCGAAATGGTGCGTTGCACGAGGCTTTTGTGGGGGTTGGAAAGGTCTGGAGTTGTGAACTTAAAATACTATATGGAATCATGGAATGGTTTGGGTTGGAAGGGACCTTAAAACCACCCGGTTCCAACCCCCTGCCACGGGCAGGGACACCTTCCACTAGCCAAGGTTGCCCAACATATACAATACATATGTTATATAAATATATATAATTTATATTAATTATAACATGAAATAATCGATATTTAAGGAAGGAATCCAGCTTTTTTGAAGCAACACACTGGTCTGGGAAGGGAAACCTCCCCACCAGGATCAACCCTTGAGCAGCTCCTGAAGGTACCAACCTCCCACCACCCGACTGGTTGGGGCTCGGCTCTTCCACAACACCCCGATTTGTACCTGATTTTCTGGGTAAATCAGATCTGGCAGAGGCTGAGGGGCTTTGGATGCATCCCATAATCCTGTTTTTTTTGGCTTTGGAGACCAAAAAGAAGGATTAAAGTGACGGGGACACAGCACTGATATTCCCTGGGAAGTTGGCACTTTGATCAACCCGGGGGGTTTGGGGTTAACTGAGCACAACCCAAAGCTCCTGAAATCATTCAACTCATTGCACAAAAAACATCCAAGGGTTTTCATGCTTCAGTCTTCCTGAAAAGAGCCAAAGGGAATCTGAAATGTTCCCAAAAACATCCAGCTTGGAAGTGGAAACAAGGATAACAACTTTATCCCAAAGGCTAATTTACTGGAGTAGTAAATGCCCAAAGACACGGGATTACAAGGGAGCTGCTTTCCCTACAGTGACTGGATAGCCTGGAGCACTTGAATTCAGCAAAATAAGGATTGTTTTTTTATTTTCCCTGAGTTTTTTTTTGCCAGAGATGGCTTCCAGCTGCTCCCCTGCAAGAACCAGGGAGCAACTGTGCCTGTGGGAAGAGGAGTTTGGAGTTGCCCGGGTTAGACCTGTCCCAGGATCATGAATTTTGGCCACTTCCACAGCTCTGAACAGCTCCAGAGGCCTCAAAGAACTTCACCAGGAACGCTGAGAGCTCTCCCAGGTTATGTGGGGACATCAGAGGTGCTGAAAGTCAACTTGTACCTTCAGAAACCTGCTCCCAACGTTGTGTCCACCACTCTCCATCCCTGCCTGCTGCAGGTATTCCCAGGTGAAACACAGGGAATTTAGAGCAGGACTTCCTCTGCCCTGTCCCAGGATCATGAATTTTGGAGACAACCATCCTCCCATGGGACACCTTCACAGCTCTGAACAGCTCCAGAGGCCTCAAAGAGCTTCACCAAGAGAGCTGAGAGCTCTCTCAGGTTATGTGGGGACACCAGAGGTGCTGAAAGTCAACTTGTACCTTCAGAAACTTCCTCCCAGTGTTGTATCCACCACTCTCCATCCCTGCCTGCTGCAGGTGGCACACAGGGAATTTAGAGCAGGACATCCTCTGCCCTAAGGGGATCCTGAGCATCCTCAGAGCCATCTCTGACCCCGTGGGACCTGTTCAGGTCCAGGAAGTATTTTTGAAGCCACACACGCTCTATGCAAGAAAACCTTTGTGTGTGTTTGAGTGATTAGAGGAGAGCTGGATGGATAAAACCACGGGATCAGGATGGAAAGGAATTGCAGTTGGAGCACTGATCCCACAACAAACCCACAGGTGGGCCAGTTAAAGCCTGGCAGGGATGGGAGCTGCTGGTTCCTCCAGACACCACGTGGAGGTAGAAGCACTGAGCCATGAAGTATTACTGATGCATTAAATTCCCCCCAGGACACCGAATCCTGCAGGATTTGGGTTGTGCTGTGCAGATTCACAGTTCCATTTCTCTGAGAGGAGCCCTGGGACGACCGAGCCCGGGTCTGTAACGTCAGCGCCGGGATGAGAAGTGAAAGGAAGGGAAAGAGAGAGCTCAGCTCCGTCCCCACCCCTGTCAACAAACACCCCCTTCAACAGAGCCAAGCTTTGTTTAAATTAATCTATAAGGAAAAAAAAGGGAAGGGAGTAAAAGCTCCTCTTTTAGCTCTAATTAGTGCATTTGAGACGCCAAAGTTCCCGGAGGGCCCCGTTTTCAAAGGCAGTTTGCATTTCCATCGTTTAGTGCTCCATTTAAACCAAACAATCAAGGCACTGCAAGGTGAGGGTGAAAGCCCAGGCAGGCAGAGTCCTTACACTCGGGGTATCCTGGGAGAGATGTGTCGTTGGGAAAAGAGATAATGATGGAAACGGGTCACAGAACGAGCCAGAGGATCGGAATTTCCCCCCTGCCTCGAGGGCTGGGGAGCACTGAGCTCAGGGAGGACACTCAGGAGAGCTGGAGCTGGTGGGTGATGGACAGAGACCCCCCCAAAAGGGCCTGAAGTCCGAGTGGGGAGAGGGCAGAGCTGGAATGGCACAAGGGTGAGGGACATGCAAGTGCCAACCCGGTGATTTCACCGGGGGTTCCTCCAGAAATTCAATTGGATACGTGAAGATTGTCCTTCAGATTCCTTTCCATAATGGCAAGGAGTGATGGGACAAGGGGGAATGGCCTGAAGCTGAAGGAGGGCAGGGTTAGATGGGATACTGGGAAGGAATTCTCCCCTGTGAGGGTGGGGAGGCCCTGGCACAGGTTGCCCAGAGAAGCTGTGGCTGCCCCTGGGTCCCTGGAAGTGTCCAAGGCCAGGCTGGAGCAGCCTGGGCTAGTGAAGGTGTGGGTGGGGAACTGGATGACCTTTAAGGTCCTTTCCAATCCAAACCATTCCACAATTCCATGACTATGAAATGAGATCCCTTTGGAGGAGATCAAGCAAGTCAAGCTGGGGTTTGGTGGCTTCCTAAAACCATCACCGAGCATGGAGCTGCTTCTCCTGCTGTCCCACTGCCTTCCCAGCCACTGCCATGGATCCCAGCTCACTGCCTGCCTCCAATTCCCTGGCTCTTCCAGCTGCTTCGTGTCCAAGGGCTCAGATTTTTGATGGCTCTTTATTTTAGCATTTTACCAATAGCCCTGAAAACCCCTCAGGCTTTGGCATCACGAATCTTTGGTGCTTCCCTTCCCTCAAGGGTGGGATGGCCCAGGATGTCAGCTTGGGAAATCACAGAAATACAGAATTATTTAGGTTGGAAAAGCCCTCTAAGATCACCCAATCCAACCATTAACCCCACACTGCCAAGGCCACGTCCCTAAATAACACATCCCACAACACATGAAGTGCCCACAGAACAACCATCTCCGTGGTATAAAAGTGCTTCAAACGCAGAAAACTCACGGAGTTTAATCCCCATGGATCATTTGGCAACATGTGGATGCCACGAGATGCTGTGGAATGAGTTCTTTTCCTCGGCTGGAGAGGAGGGGGAGGTTATGTGGACCTCAGATGATGCAGCTCCAAAGCTCAGGAACATGCCAAGGTCACTCATAGGATAATTTGGGTTGGGAGGGACCTTTAAGGACATCCAGTCCCACCCCCTGCCACAGGCAGGGACACCTTCCACTAGCCCAGGTGGCTCCAACATGGCCTTGGATGTTCTAGAAGTGTGGCCTCAACCTACTCAAACCCAACTGCATCCCTGGAAGTGTCCAAGGCCAGGTTGGAGCCACCTGGGCTAGTGGAAGGTGTCCCTGCCCGTGGCAGGGGATGGCACTGGATGGGCTTTGAAGTCCCTCCCAAGCCAACCATTCCATGATTCCATGATGGTTTTATCCTGCCTGTTCCTCCATGCAAGACTTAGCATGGAACGAGCTGCTTGGATAATTATTAATTATCATTTTTGGCTGGTCTCTTCTCTGTCCCATCAGCAGGTCTGAGGGGGCAGGAGGGGAGTGGATCCTCCCAAAGACAGCTTGGAGGTCACCTAAAGGCACTGTCCCTGTCCCACAGGGCTTTTGGCACTTGATCCTCTCCGTGGATCCGACAGAAGGGAGATGGGAGTAGAAATAACAGAAATAGAAATAATAGAATATAATAATAATAGAATATAATAATAATAGAATAGAATAATAGAATATTTTCAGTTGGAAGGGACCTCCAAGGATCATCTGGTCCAACTGCCCAACCACTTCAGGGCTGACCAAAAGCTGAATCCTGCTGTCAAGGGCATTGTCCAAATGCCTCTTAAACACTGCAAAATTTGGGATGGGTTTAGATTAGATATTGGAAGAATATCTTGTCTATTTTTTTTATATATACATATATATGTCTATTTTTTATATATATACACACATATATAAAAAATATATATTATATAATAATTAATACAATACAATATTGATATATATTGTATATTGAATATCTTGTGCCTGCAGACCAGCAAATTTTAAATCATTTTGGGGCTTGAGATCCCACCTTTACAGTGGAATTTTGCTGTAAGACAAGGAAAACTCTGCTTAGGAGTGAAATAAAAACACAGACCCTCAGTCGAGTCCTTGAATTTTGATAAAAAACCGGGATTCAGGTCAGAGGGATAAACCAGGAATGTCCTATTTGAGCTCCCACTGTCCACCCGGGGGGGAAATCCTTGCTCCCTGGATCCCAGGGAGCCTCCTGCTCTCTCCAAGCTGCTCCATCCCAGCACCACCAGGATGGAATGAGCTGCCAAAGCAAGACTGGGGTGAAAACTATCCCGGGATTCCGGGGCCACACTCACTTTTCCAGCAGGACCAGGGCAGTCGTGGGGTTCACACGGAGGTACTTGCACGTGGGCTGCCCGTAGTCAGCCAAATACGTCGACCAATCCCACTGGATGAACAGATCCAAGAGCTGGAAAGGGAAAAAAACCAAAAACAACGGATAAAAGATTTTAAAAAAGCTGGAAAAGGGAGCAGGTGGTTTAGCTGGAAACTGGCAAAGGTCCTGGACAGGTGGAGTTCACCACCAAAAATGGCTTGAAGGCTTTATTAATTTGTTTATTATGGTTCTGCTAATGTTTAATTATCAAGTGTTATTAATTTATGAATATTTAATGCTGATTTATGCATGACTATGTTAATTTATAGTGCACTCCCGCTGTGTTATCTCTGTTTTGGGGGTGAATTAGTGGATTTGAGGTTTGAGACATCCCGAGAAGGTGGGTGGGGAAGGACCCCAGAGCCCTGACTCTCCCAGCCCTGGCAGGAGGACACTTTTGGGGTCAAAGCCACCACAGATTTCTTCAGTCCCCAAATAACCCCTGGTGCAGTTTGACCCAATCCCCCGGGATCTCCCACCACACTTGTTCCATCTCAACACCTTCCAAGTGCTTTGGGAGTGCCTCCAAGGAGCAGAACTCCCTGGGGAGGTGTGGGATCCGCTCAGGGGGTTATTTTGGGTGGATGCATCTCCCAGAGCCTGGGAGTCCCAGGTGCTTTCCAGCCCTTTGTGAGGAGAAACCACCGGGTCCAACAGCGGGGGGGAGGAAAAGAGGGTTAATTACAGAATCCCAGGAGATGCTGAGTTGGAAGGGACCCACAAGGATCACGGAGTCCAATCAGCCCTGCACAGGACCAGCCCCAAGAGTCCCATGTGCCAACTGTGACAGTCCCTGCTCCAGACCTCCAAAATTCCCACCTGCTCACCTCCACAAGTGCCCCAGAGGAGTCAGGTGAGGGACGAGCAAACTACAGACCAGGCTTCCTAAATGCTCTGTTCCCATCCTTTTTTTTCCTTAAAACCCAACCAGGAGCTCCCATGTCTTTCCCTCACCCCTCAGTGGCTTTCCCACCCACAGGGACACAGCTGAGGATATGTGGGATGCAGCCTTCACCTCCACCATCTAAAACAGGTTAATTAAGAGCTTCATTCCCCCCCTCCTCCCCAGACATTCCATCCTGGAGAGCAGGAACAGACTCCCACATCTTTCCCTCATCCCTCAGAGCACCGGCTTTCCCACCCACATGGACACAGTTGGGGAATCCATGGGTTGCAGCCTTCATCTTCACCAACCAGCCCGGTACAGGACCAGCCCCAGGAGTCCCACATGCCAACTGTGACAGTCCCTGCTCCAGACCTCCAAAATTCCCACCTGGTCACCTCCACAAGTGCCCCAGCGCTCCCAGAGGAGTCAGGTGAGGGAAGAGCAAACTACAGACCAGCTTTCCTAAATTCCCACACCATCCCATTTCCTTATTTTCCTTAAAACCCAGACAGGAGCTCCCACGTCTTTCCCTCACCCCTCAGAGCATCGGCTTTCCCACCCATCCACACAGACACGGCCGAGGATCCATGAGATGTATCCTTCATCTCCACCATCTAAACCAGGTTAATTAAGAGCTTCTGCATCTCCCCCCCTCCCCAAACATTCCACCTTGGAGAGCAGCTGTGACCACTCTATCTGGGAACAGACTCCCACATCTTTCCCTCACCTCTCAGAGCACCAGCTTTCCCACCCATCCACACGGACACTGCCGAGGATCCATGGGATGTATCCTTCACCTCCACCGTCTAAAACAGGTTAATTAAGAGCTTCATTCCCCTCCCTTCCCAAACATTCCACCTTGGAGAGCAGCTGTGACCACTCCATTTAGGGACAGACTCCCATGTCTTTCCCTCATCCCTCCGTGGCTTCCCCACCCACACGGACACTGCCGAGGATCCATGGGATGCAGCCTTCACCTCCACCATCTAAACCAGGTTAATTAAGACCTTCTGCAACTCCCCCCCTCCCCAAACATTCCGTCTTGGAGAGCAGCTGTGACCACTCTATTTGGGGACGGGCTGCCAAGCGCGTGGACGTCTTCATCTCCCGCCTCGGCGCGTCCCGGCGCCCACCACCGAAGCCGGGAGAAGCCGGGAGAAGCCGGAACCATAGAGGGCCCATTGTCCCCGCGTCTCCATGGTTTTCCTGGAGGCTCCGGCGCTGTTTAACAACGCGCCCTGCCCCGCCAAGAAGGGGATTTAGCTCCTCCGAGACCTCGAGATACAAAACAAAAATGTGCAACAAGATTCTCTTTGACTATGTAGGTCAGGGCAAAGAAAAACAAGCCGTCGGGAACAATCCCGCGGGCTGGCGGGGGGGACGGATTAGCCGGGACCTAAGAGGCCTTTTCCAGCCCGCGGTCCCGCTCGGCTTTGTGCGCCGGGGCCATTGTGTCAACTCCAAAGCCGAGCTGAACATGGTTGGCAGGAGGTTTTTCCAACGGTTGGCACCTCCAAGAGACAACTTCCAGGATGATTTCACGGGCTCCTTTCAGGCGGGAGCGGCGGGGCCAAGGCCCTCCCGTGTGGGGTTTGTCGGCCGCTGGGAGAAGTTGCGACGGTTGTAGAGGCTAAATGGGAACCCCCACAACGCACCAAAGGCCTCTCGCTGGTGGCCCGGGGAGGCCGAACGTGCCTCGGGCAAATCCCGAACAAAGCAGAACGAGTTTATCGCCGTGGAAAAGCGCACGGCCGGAGCGCCTGAGGGGCCAGGTAGCCCTTCGTGGGGAACGGGAATAAAGGGCCGGGGGGACAGGGTGAAAGGAGCAGGGAAATGAAAAGGTGAGGGGTAGAAAGCGGTTGGGAGAAGGTGGAATTAAAATGTTGGGAGTTGTTATAAACAGGGAAGCGGCAGAGGCTCGGGAGCTCAGAGGAGGCCCCGGAGCTGCTGCCAGGGCTGGAGCCCCTCTGCTCTGGAGCCAGGCTGGGAGAGCTGGAGGGGGGTTCCCCTGGAGAAGAGAAGGCTCCAGGGAGAGCTGAGATCCCCTGGCAGGGCCTGAAGGGGCTCCAGGAGAGCTGGAGAGGGCCTGGGGACAAGGGGTGGAGGGACAGCACACAGGGAATGGCTTCAAACTGACAGAGACACTCCAATTCCGTGGAGGTGCTGGTCAACTGTGGCTGAACATGAGCCCAAGTGGCCAAGAAGGCAAAGGGCACCTGGATTGTAGCAGCCCTGTGTGGCAGCAGGACCAGGGCAGTGCCTGTCCCGGTGCTGACACTGGTGAGACCCCACCTTGAATTCTGGGGGCAGTTCTGGGCTCCTCACAAGAAGAACATGGAGGGGCTGGAGCGTGTGCAGGGAAGGGAACGGAGCTGGGAAGGGGCTGGAGCAGCAGGAGCAGCTGAGGGAGCTGGGGGGGCTCAGCCTGGAGAAAAGGAGGCTCAGGGGGGACCTTCTGGCTCTGCAAGTCCCTGACAGGAGAGGGGAGCCGGGGGAGGGTCGGGCTCTGCTCCCAGGGAACAAGGGACAGGAGGAGAGGGAACGGCCTCCAGCTGTGCCAGGGCAGGTTTAGATGGGATATTAAGGAAAATTTCTCCCCAGGAACAGGCTGCCCAGGGCAGTGGTGGATCCCCATCCCTGGAGGCATTTAAAATCCCTGTGGATGTGGCACTTGGGGACACGGGTCAGTGGTGGCCTCGGCAGCACTGGGCAAACAGTTGGACTCGACGATCCTCGAGCTCTTTTCCGACCTAAACCATTCCACGATTCCAGATGCCCCCACCTCAAGCTGGACCTTCCCAGAGCTCCCTCGGAGCCCGACTCCCCCCGGCTGGCTCCCGACAGTGACGGATGGCCTGTGTATTTCCAACTGTTTGCCCA